GCTTGCTCTGGTCTTGATTCGATATGTATGAACGCCAGAGAGTCTGGCGGGCCTGCCAGCCATGCCGTAGAAAGAAGATCAAATGTGACGGAGAGCAGCCTTGCAGAAGCTGTAATAAGAGCCAGGCAGATTGTGCCTACGCTGAGCCGTCCAGTAACATGCGGATGGCCGATCCTCAGTAAGACTGAGTCCATTGTGGGAAGCTTGACGCAGATGGAGTACAGTGCTAACCTGAGTTCATAGGTATGTTATGAAACTCGAAAGCCGGCTGATGTCAATGGAGAAAAAGCTGCAAGAACATAACTCGGCTGGCCGTTGGGCAAATGGCGAATCAACCACAGCTGGAGCTGTGCCTGGAGGACCAGCATTTTGCAACAGTCTCCAGGGAGGCCCTGTCGGTGACATGCAGCAAGCATCAGCCACTGGTAATACAACACCTGGGACGGATAAGGAAGACTCTGTCAACAAGACCCGAGACCAGCACAAGAGTCTAGGTTCATCAACAGGTGAATATACACTGCCAAGTGGCTTCAGTGAACTTGATCAGATGCTGTATAACTGTGACGAAACCCTTGTGCTAGAGGAGCCACCTAGTCCCGAGAGCAATTTCGAAGACGTTTCAAGCTTGCCACGGACCTTGATCGACGTCTTGGTTGGCCAGTTTTATCACAAAACCTACTCAATATTTCCCATCATTAGAGAACCCGAATTTCGACACCAGTTAGATCAGTGGGCTGCCACGGGGCAAGACGGAAGCGGCTTCATGCCTGTTCTATATGCTCTTCTGGCCGTCTCTGCTTCCATTTTGCCCGACGACCACGCCGTCTTCGAATTGCCCGAGGTGAGAGGATATAAATCGCTCGACCTTGGGGATTTGATCTCGTCGCATGCGAATTCACAACTGTCTCTCAAGTCATACAAAACTGACAAACTCGCTCGCATCAACTCAGTCATTGCACATGGGCTTTTGAGTCTGTACTTGGCGGAGGCTGGCCAGGTGACTGAAGCATGGGTCACGACAGGTCATGCTATACGACTGTACCAAGGATTAGATTTGTATGATGGTGCTTCGTCGAGCAATGAGTCTGTTGATTCACCAGGCGGGCACAGCGCCATATGGTGGTGCCTGTACATACTCGACCGATCTCTTTCGACGGTCCTGCTCAAGCCGCTCGCTATCGATGATGTGGAATGCGACGTGAGTTCTACCGATGACGGAGAAAGCCACATATCCGTCTCGGAGGATGAGGTTGACCCATGGTTCTCCGTGATAACAGGATTTCACATCACTATGGGCAAGATTTACAAGTCTGTACGCTCATTTCGAAAGTTCCAACACACTGACAAGAGCGACTCCAACGACATATTGGTTTCTCGTCTCAAGAACCACGACATGGAGCTGGAACAGTATTACGAGAAGCAGGTTCTTCCAAACATGAGGAATAACCCAGATGATCCGCAGCGAATGGGCCTGCAGACTATTGCCGTGTCTTCGTATTTCATCGGCGTGGTACTTCTCTATCGTCAATTCATTGAAATGTTCCGCATTGAAGACCCCCAAATCTACCTTCGCTGTGCGGAGGCTGCATCCAATTGCATTCGGCTTACACCAAAGGTCTTAGCTACCGTTCCCGCAAGCCATTTTATGATTCAGCAAAGCCGGTCAATATATGTGGGCTCCAAGGTCTTGTTGCACTGCATGCGCCTAGTACGGAATGAAAGTTTCAGTAATAAGGCTTGGGATGATGTTCACATGGGATTAGAAATGTTGCGAAAGATCAAAATTCAATGGCCAGAGATCAAAAAGTATCAGAAGCTCACGGAAGACGATATGCGACGTACCAAATCCGAGTTGGATAGACACGAGACTTTTGGCAAGACATTTGACCGATTCACATCTCTATCTGGGGATGAGATCTACTATCGGCTCTCCAGCTCAAACCGGTCCTTGAGCAACGGGGGTCTTGGCTCAGCTACCGGACATTGCCGTGACAGGGCTCGTTCAGTTATTGACACAGACGATACTCGCGATACCCAGCGTAAATCTAAGCGGCAGAAACCATCGGCTCCTTGTAATTCACTGAGCCCTGATTTGTCAGGCCTATTTCAAGCTGGTGGAAGCGAAATGGGAGATGACGATTTTACAATGTCATTCATGCTAGACCTAGCAGCATTTCCACCAGCGACTGCATTGGCATCTACCAACTTATACGAAGACGGGGTCAGCTGAGGTAGAAATCGGGAACAATCCAGATGAAAAAAAGGGCTGCGGCAAATAATTTTATTCAGGCGGAAATAAATTCCTTCAACTCCCACATATGTCAATATGGCGGTGCCGTCTGGCCACATTCTCTACACTTGCGAGTCTCCTCGTTGCTCATCCAGTCATCAATCACAAGCTTCAGCTGTGTCTCAATATCTTCACAGTAAAATTGTTCATGTCGAATAATGACTGGCTCCTCGCCGTGTGCTTTTTTATTAGGGCAATACCATTGCAATTGGTCGATGCTCTCCTTTGGCCGAGTTCTTTCCATGACGAGGCCAACGGTATCTTTGTATCGAATCGGCGAGTGAGGAGTGTTGCCTTTTTATTTATAGCTCCGGGTTAACGGTCTCGAATTATTTGCGATGTTTTGTTGACAGACTTACCGGGGAGGAGGAACATTTCACCCTCGCGGATATGAACATCGCGGAACTGACTGCCGTTCTCGACGATTTTTAATAGCATGTCGCCTTTGAGCTGGTAAAACCATTCCTGTCCATGGGATTAGCAATATTCTGCCAGGAAAGACAAGGTTTTGGTACTTCTGTCTGATTGACTGTTAAAGGCTCTGTTAGCGATGCTTCTCGATATCAAGGCCATTGGCATACCATGATAGTCACTTCTTGTGTTTGGGCCTCCAACTGCCATTAAAATGAAGTCCTTGCCCGAGTACAGGCATTGATTATTCACCGGGGGCTGTAGGTTTGCAGCATTGGTAGACAGCCAGGATGACAGGACAAGTGGCCCTGGAAGAAGTGCTTCACCGGCTATGGGAGCCATGCTGGGGGGACTTGTCAGGGCGAGCTTCTTGTTCAGATGATGGCTGGCTGTTTCAGACAGGTACAAAAAGTATCAATCTTGACACTTTGGATGGACATGAGAGAGCATAGTCATAGTCAGGTTGGCACGTTTCATCTGCTGCAGCCCTCCGCATCCTATAATAGTTGCGGCATTCGGCGGACGGTGGCCGGGCCGGATCCGGCGGATGGAGTATCGGATACATCCGTGTATACGCAAAGTATGACGGCTTTGGAAAATCCTTCCTACGAGCTGGACCGGAGACAGACGACCTACATAAGTCCTCATGGATGACTACACTGGCCTGTTGTGTCTCTGAACTCTTCAAGATGAGCCTGATCGCATCGCCTCCCTCCTCCAGCGCCGGGTTACCCAACATGCAGTTCCACGAGCCGTTGATCACAGTTGCCGCATGCGATTGCATGTCCGGAAACACTGACAAGGAATTCGCTTCACACACTTCACACATTGAAGGGACGTATTCCTCCAAGGCGGGTTTCAAAATCGATATTCACACACACATCATGCCCCCTTCATTACCAGACATGTCGCAATTTGACGACTCGTCAAATCGCAACGAATGGATCAATTTACGACATCACAAGCCATCTCCATCATCTTCCGAATCCAGTTCCCCCTCCCAAAAGTTGGACATGTATGTTGGAAGACGGTTTTTCCGGACCGTCGAAGCCAATTGCTTCGACCCCGAGACTCGCATCAAAGAAATGGATGCAAGCGGCGTGTCCGTGCAGGTCCTCAGCACGATTCCAGTTCTATTCTCGTACGACAAACCCATCAAGCCCGCGGCAATGCTTGCGCGGCTGTTAAACGACCACATTGCCTCTCTTTGCCGAGTCTACCCCAGCCGGTTCGTCGGCCTCGCGACGGTGCCTCTGCAGGACGTTGCCGCCGCCGTGGAGGAGTTGAAGCGCGCAAAGGGCCTGGGGTTAAGAGGCGTCGAGATTGGCACCGAGATAAACGGACGGGAGCTGGACGACCTGGACATGGAGCCGTTTTGGAAAGCATGCGAGGAGTTGGACATGGCAGTTTTTGTGCATCCGCTAGGCTACGAGCTGGCCAGGGAGAATAAGAGATGGGCCAACTACTGGTCTGCTTGGCTGATTGGGATGTGAGTCTGCCTCGGCGTGTACAACGATGTTCTCTCTCACTTTACGCTAATGCCTGCATTCTACAGGCCGAGCGAAACGGCTCTCGCACTACACGCAGTCGTCTCGTCTGCCGTGCTCGTCCGCCACCCCAGGCTGCGTCTCTGCTTCGCCCACGCCGGCGGCGCATATCTCCCTCTCCTTGGGCGTATTCAGCACGGCTACGACTGCCGGCCTGATCTTGTTGCTCACAAGTCCGAGGGCGTATCGCCAACACGTCAGGTGGCCCTTGGTCAGAGGAACATCTGGATAGACAGCCTGGTGCACGACCCGGACCTGTTAGAGTACATGTGCAAGAAGATTGCGCCGGAACGTGTAATCATGGGTAGCGACTATCCGTTTCCGTTAGGGGAAGTCCCTCTTCCAGGACAGATGATATCTACGGACGAGCGGGTGAGGGGATTCTTGTCCGAGGAGAGGAGAGAGGCAATGTTGTGGCGGAATGCGGTTGAGTTTTTGGGCTTGCATGATTTGGTGAGGGAGTACAAGTATTGACATGTAGAACTATTCTGATTTCAAGGTAGCAAGTTTGATCGTGTGGCATGTTTTTTTTCTTTTGGTAATCCATGCATGTAGAATGCCAGTTTGACCCTTTGAATCATGTAATACAACACCACTCTTAACCAATCCCCGCTGCCATGGTCGCTTCGGATGCATCCGAGTCTGTGTGAGCACCCCAAGCCATGTCGCTTGTCGTCACGGGCGGCATAAAACAGCATCAAGCCGCCTCTACATTGTGATGCAAAACACAATACAAATGACCTTATTCCAAAATGGACACGATCGCAACGCTTTGGAACGCCGACACCCCAGATGCGGCCGAGGCTCTTCTCCAGACCACCGCCGCCAAACCTCTCCGTCTACAAAATTTTGTGGGCAACGAATTCTACAAAGCCTCCTCATCCGTCGACGCGCTAGAGTCGTTCAACCCTCGGACCGGCAAGGTACTGGTTCATGTGCCATCTAGCTCCGCAGCAGACGTAGACCAGGCCGTCGATGCGGCAGCCGCTGCGTTCCCTTCCTGGTCCCGGACCCCAAGGCAAGAAAGGGCGCGCTTGCTACAGAAAGTCGCCCACCTAATCCAAGAGAACAAGAATCTGTTTGCTGTATGGGAGAGCATAGACCAGGGCAAGACGCTGGCTCGGGCAGAGGCCGAGGTTGACAGAGCCGCAACGAACTTCAGGTATGGCCTCGTCGCACCTGATTCCCCCCTCTACGCCGTCACGAAGAACTTTGGACTAACGCCGCCCAACACTGCTACAAACAGCTATTTCGCCCAGTTTATTCTCCACGAGGAGGGGACCGTTCGCTACGTAGACGGCGAGTCACCCGTCATGGCGTACGAGCACCGGTCACCAGCGGGCGTGTTTGGCCTCATCACGCCGTGGAACATGCCGCTGTACCTGCTGACGTGGAAGATTGCGCCCTGCCTGGCATTCGGGTGCGTTGCCGTCGCAAAACCCAGCGAAGTGACGAGCGTCACTGCCTTCTGTAAGTCCACCACAGAACCCCGGGGAGGCGGGCGCGCGTGTTTGTCACACATCTGACTCTGGCCAAGTACTTTGCGAGATATTCCGCCAAGCCAAGCTCCCTCCCGGCGTGATCAACATGGTGTTTGGCAAAGGGGCCACGGCGGGCTCGGCACTCGTCACGTCTCCCAAAGTCCGCGGGGTTTCATTCACAGGCGGCGTGGGCACGGGAATCCGCATCCGGCAAGATACGGCTGCCGACGTGGGCAAGCACATCTCCCTGGAGCTGGGCGGGAAGAATCCAAACTTGATCTTTGAGGATGTCGAGATGGGCAAGGCGGTCCGTCTCGCGGCCAGGGCTGCTTTCGAAAACACCGGCCAGATATGCCTCTGCGGATCGAGGATTTACATTCACCGCTCTCGATATGAAGAGTTTCTACCGGCCTTTGTGGGCTATGTGAAGCATAATTATATATGCGGAGGGACACTAGGGCCTGTGGTTTCAAGGGAGCACTATTCCAAGATACGGTCTTACCTGGCTTTGGCGCAAAAGGAGTCGGCTACATTCCACCTGGGCTCTGTTCCCGAAGAGGACCCCCAAGGCGGATACTGGATACCCCCCGTGGTATTGACGGGGCTTTCCCAAGAGAGCCGGGTGATCCAAGAGGAGATTTTTGGTCCCGTGGTAACTGTGTCTACGTTTGAGACGGAAGACGAGGCAATTGCCCTGGCCAACGACAATGCGAATGGTCTGGCGGCGGTCGTCATGACCAACGACGTATCAAGGATGCGGCGTGTTGGAGAGCGAATCGATGCGGGCTTGGTTTGGGCGAATTGTTGGCTGGTGAGGGAGTTGGGGACGTCGTTTGGTGGCCTCAAGGCAAGCGGCGTCGGCAGGGAGGGAGGTGTGCACAGCAGAGAGGTGTTTACGAATCTGAGGACCGTTCACGTACCTTCAAGTTGGTGACTGCAGCCACGATGATTGTGATTAGGGGGTGGTTGATTACACGCACGGTGCTGCGCAAAAACAAGTAAGGCAGCCGCGCATCACATTCTCCATGTCGCACTTTCCTCGTGCTCTTCTCGCTGCTCTCACATATGTACTCGGATACATCCGAGCGGGGCAATTCCGCAGCCGCCTTCTTGTTAGTTACATTACACATCTCATAAATATCTAAAATATTCATGTTTCGGCTCTCGAATCACATTCATATCTTGCTTGTTTACTTAATCGCAATCGCGCCAGTCCTTTCAGTTCCGGAAAAATGCACGACTCTCCCAACGGAAAACCCTACTTCCGCCCTTCTGCCCACGCCCAAGGCCTGGCAAACTACCCTCACGCACGCATCGTCCCCTCCGCCAACGCCCACACCATCTACGTCTCCGGAACCTCCTCCCGCCGCGGCGACGGAACTTTTGTTGGCGCCGAATATAAAAAGGATGAGTCCGGGAGCACTTCACTGCAGCTGGACATTCGGCAGCAAACCGAGGCCGTCCTGTCAAACATGAGCGAAATCATCAAGGGCGCCACAGACGGCAAAGCAGATATGAACAATGTCGTCGAGGCCAGTGTTTTCTTGGTAAATATGGAAAGGGACTACAAGGGTATGAATGACGAGTGGAACCGCGTCTGGCCGGATCGTGCGCTGGCGCCGGCCAGGACGACGGTGGAAGTGAGAGCTCTGCCCCGGCCCGAGATCCTGGTGGAGATGAAGTGTGTTGCTCATCTGGCAACAGACTGAATGAAACAAATTGCAATAGATGTAGTATTTCTCAGCATGGGACCCTAGTCAATCTTTACAAGAAGTTTCCCCGTCGTCAGTTGTGAAGCAAGGTCATCCTGCGCCCTCCCGAGCGTGTCCAACGTGTACATGCCTCCCAGCTCTATCTTGACAGCGCCCGAGCTTACAAGTCCCGACAACTCTTGCCATCTTTCTTCAAACTCCTCTCTTTCTGTAATGTAATTGGCCAGAGTCGGCCTCACAAGCTTCACGTTCCTCTTGCTCAGCGCCAGAATACCAAAAGGCGACACAACACCGCTACTATTCCCATACGACACCAGCGTGCCTTTGCGCCGTGTACAAGCCAAATCGGCCTCAAAGGTAGCAGCGCCCACGCCACTCAGCACGGCATGGCAGCCCTTCCCATCCGTCAAATGATCAACTTCCCTCTCGACGTTGACATCTTTGTACAGGATGACGTGGTCACAGCCATGTTTTTTCGCCACCTGCGCTTTCTGCTGCGTAGACACCGTCCCGATTACCGTGGCACCGAGATACTTGCACATTTGCACAAGGAGTCCGCCTGTGCCTCCCGCTGCCGCCTGTACAAGAATGACCTCTCCGGCTTCCACCCGATGCGCGTCGCGGACCATTGTCCACGCCGTCAGGCCCTGCAGCGTGATTGCCGCGCCGGACTGCGTCGATACCGAAGGGGGCAGTTTCGCGACGCCCGATGCCTCGGCGGAAACGTATTCCGCCATGGTTCCCTGCGTGAAAACCGCCACGCGATCGCCAATGTTGAAGTCCGTGGTCGGGCGAACATGGGGGCCGACGCCGACGACGGTGCCGGATCCTTCGCGACCGGCTGTGAAGGGAAGCGGCATGGGGTATACACCCGCTCGCTGGTATATGTCGATGAAGTTGACTCCCGCGTATTCGACTTTGACCAACACGTCCCGGTCGCCGATGGCTGGAATTGCCAAATCGGTTTCCTGTCGTAGAACCGAAGAGTCGCCCGTTTGATGGACGCGAATGCCCTTCATAGTGGCTGGGAGAGACATTGCTACTTCAAATGATGTGCTATTAGATCGATTATGAGCAATGTTTGTCCTGTCTTTCGACCACTTGATGGTTCACTACGGAGTATACACACAGTCTTTCCATTTTCCGTCTTGGATAGAATTTCCCAACACGGCAATAACCCCACACCGGGTCCGGACCGGCATCCGTGTGGAGGGAGGAACGCGGAAGTGGCTGCCGGATAGCGCCGTGACTGGCTGGAGAAGGCCGCCTCGTCCCGTCTTGCCGCACATGCCCAGAGCATCCAGCATCCCCAGTTAGCCAGGAGGCGGCCAATAGTGACACCGGCCATCAGACCCCATGAATTTCATGCGGCATCTTTTGGATGTACAGGCGAGAGCAAGACGCTGTCAACGTGGAGGAATGAGATGCCTGCTTCATGTGCGGCGTCCTACTGGTAGCTTCTGCCAATGGCACAAGCAGAGCTATGTCACGTCGATGGACTAGGCTGGAATGATGACGGCATTCCATTTTAGCCCAGGTGACTTATATAAAGACGGAGAGATGACTGACTATCTGTATGAGCTTCGAGTACGTTCTCTGCCCAGCGGAAGTGGGATGGCAGGTGTAGTTGCTGCCGTTCCCGCAGGCCTTGGCTGCTAGGCTTTGGTGATATGTTGCCAGCGTACCGGCTGGGCGGTCTTGGTGTGTGCTGGTGTTCGGAGGAATCGGAGGCCATCAGTGGCCTGAAGTGTTGGAAATTGAAGTCCAGTGATGACTTCGCCAAGGATGTTCGCCCCGCGGTAACGGTAGCAACTACGTCTTCATAGGCGAAGTAGGCGGAAGAATCAGTGATTGCGTTCCCGCTGTAGCTAGAGATTCTGTTTTCTGCCTGTAGCCGCTGATATTCGTCTTGGACGAGTTCCATTAGCAGATCCAGGCAGAAAACAGGATCTCTAACGACAACGACAACGCAATCACCGACCCTTCTTCCTACTTCGCGCATGGAGGTGTAGTGTAGTTGACTCTTTGTACTATCAGGATACGATGCCGCTACCTAAAGCTGAGGCGCCGTCACCTACCCCGTTCATCAGAGACAGGATACCTGTCGATACGATGACAATGTGTGAAAGAGGACGCCTGACGATTGTACCACTGTCGCGTAAACTACTTCCGTCTGTAACTCGGTAAAAAGCTTTATAGCGACGGAGCGTATCCCTGAAGAGAGAAAGCTGGTCGAGGATAGCCATTATCAGGCGACCTCTTAACACACACCTAGCAATGGGACAGGGTCAAGAAAGCGGTTACTAGGACAGCTGGGAAATAATACAAGACCACCTTGGCCTCCCGACTTAATAAAATCGAGGTTCTATTCCAAACCTCAGCCCTGGCCGTGTACATGTTGAGATGGATCTCGTCGAAACGAGGCAGCGCGAGGAAATGCTCACTCGCCAGGTCGCTTGATTTAGTTCCAAAAGTCGACTCTTGAAGCGCGAAGCTCTGTTATATTGCATGAAAACAAATAAAGAGACGGACAACGAATAGGAAAAGAGAGGTGCGGAGCGAGAGGGAGAAAACTCATCTCTGCTGTATCTCTTAGCTGCCCAAAGGCTCGCGGAGATTCGCTTACCTCGGAAAATTATATGGCAGAAGAGGCCCCACGAGCCATTGGGCCGCTAGAGAGATTAGAAGAATAGGAAAGCGGTAGGTTTCTGCGGATCGTTCTGACCCGCACGCACATACCCCAAATACTCCGTAGTCGACTAACCGACGCAGAACAATTAATCCGCGAATCGACACCCGAATCACGATTTAGGCGGCACATGACTGGCCAATGAGCCGGCTTACCCCCCTGGACCAAGACTGCCAAGACGGCGGCTGGTCCATCGTCTCGGTCCAGCATCTGGTTCACCATCAGCCTCCACTGCCATTATTCACAGAATGCTGCCTTTTCCAACCGACATCGAACCGAACAGGGAAGCATCTAGGATCCATGTTTGCGCCACGACGGTCAATGAATGTAACCCCGCGCCGAGCCCAAGCTTGATATGGTAACACTGGTCACTAGCGGTGATTGGCGATACGCCCTCACTGTCAGCTTTGGTTAACAACTAAGCAATATGGAGACGCTACCTTGACATCGAACTCGGCCCTTGGTCTGAATTCTGTCGCTCAAGATGAACATCTAGGCCGGCAAGCCACATCCTTGTCCCCTTGACCAAGACCTATCGGGTTAATGGTCGTGCAGCGCCCACACGACGTGGCTAGCGGAGGAATACAACAACCAACGGCAAGGTAAAACTACTTTTGCATTTACTTTGAAACCCATCCTCCCTATAAATAGCATCCCTCAAGGTTGCAAATCCCAAGGCCTTGCCAACCAATTCGCACCAACCTCTAGTCATATCGTCATCGTTCGTCTTCATCATGGTTGCTATCAAACATGTCATCGCTGCCTCCCTGGCCCTCGTCACCTCCCCCGGAGCGCTGGCCTCCCGAACGTTTTACAATTCCGGCACTCTCAACGGCTGGGACTATGTTCGCAAAGAGCACAAGGGAACCGTTGACCAGGTTACCAACGTCGTCTACAAGGGCAGCTCTGCTCTCAAGATGACACAGACCTACGACTCCAACTACCACAACCGCTACCACTCCGAGGTCGACCACAACTACGGCTACAAACGCGGCGATTCTTCCTTCTATGGCTTTGCATTTCGTCTCTCCGACACGTGGGACTTCCAAGACCAGTCCTACAACATCGCCCAGTTCATTGCCAACCGCCCTGGAGCAGGCTGCGGTGGAGATGACTGGATGCCGAGTACCATGGTGTGGGTGCAAGGGAATCAGCTGTTCTCTCGAATTGTGACTGGCCACTATCGCCAGCCGAACTGCGGTAGGAACATCGACACCCTTCGAAACCTTGGCCAGATCAGTGCGGGACAGTGGCACAGGGTAATTATGCAGGTCAAGTGGGCCAGTGACGGCTCTGGATTCTTCAAGATTTGGCTCGACGGAAACAAGGTGGTTGAGAGATACAACACTGCCACAACCATTGATGATGACAGCGTTTTCCAGTTTCGTGTGGGATTGTATGCGAACAGCTGGCATGACGACGGCTATATGAAGGGCAGCCAAGGCTTTCGTCAGATCTGGTACGATGAGATTGCCATGGGAACCGAGTTCAAGGATGTCGACCCTGACCAGCAGTAAATTGCGCATTTTCGTC